CCAAAAAAAAAAAAAAAACCCAGAACCAAATATTACAAATTTTTCCCGTATGGTGGAATGCCTCTACGTTTGCCACGTGGCTATCGTCGACATGAAGAGGTTGTCTCCGGTGGCCGGACTGTCACCCCCCTTTAAGTTCGGTAGAGAGAGCAAGGAGTTCGGGTTTGGACTCGGAGTCGGATTGAAGCGGAAAGTGGTGGTAAGGAAAAGGCTGAAGCTTGTAGTGAGGGCGGAGTTATCCAAGTCTTTCTCCTTCAATCTGGGTCTGGACTCTCAGGTTTATTTCCTTCCAATTCATTCTCTTCTCTCATTCCTTTCACTTGGTTTTTTCTTTTTTTTTTCTTCTTTGTTTTCTTTTATTTCAATTTCAAGTTTAAACGTATTGTTGGATGAAAGGACCGATATAAAGTCTTGGACTGGTGTTATCTAATCTGTTATTACTATTATTTTTGGTGAAATGATTCTGGGTTTGTTCAACATTGTATTAAGCATTGTGCTTGGCCCATGATAATGTTTTAAGCATACTTAAGGATAATACTGATCTAAGAGTTTGATATTGGCTGTCTATTTTATGTTGGTTTCATATGTTTTGAACGAGCTCGATGCCCGGTTTTGTTGTATTGATCTTTGCTTGTGCAATTTCTCAAATTTAGATTTGTGTAATAGTTCATACCACTTTTGAGTAAGAAGCCTGGTGATTTCTGTTGCAGCTATCATTTTCTTCTTACTTTGTTCGTTGTGTCTGTTAAAATACACGCATATCAACACTGGTTTGAAGAGGTTCGTTAGGGTCTATTTAATATATGATTGAAAGAGCAGCAACTAGCTTTAAAAGGAAGAGAAGACCTTTCAATTCTTTCAAGCATTTTATTAAGCCCATTCCGAATCATGGACAATGATTCTTGATATTCCATTGTCACTTCTAACTATATCCTTTGGTGAATTAACTACATTCCCCTTATGTGTATCTGTGGAGTACGGTGAAACAGTGATAATACTTGCTCAAGAGTATCCTTCTCAAAGGTTTTTTCACTTTTTCTTTCTTTGTTTTTTTGTGATTCCATGTCTGTTTTATGATGCTAATGTTAGTAAGTAGTAGCAAGTACATCCGAGGTAAATTGCTGCATTTTTCTTTATTCCTGGTGTAGCAGACTATTTCCCCCTTTTTTTTTGGCTTTCCTTTTTTAATCTTATAGAGGAAATAGTGAATTATGTTTTTCTTTCATTGTCTGACACTTTTTTCTTTGGATTAGAAGACTATCCAGTCACATGATGTATCACAGTTGCGTTGGATTGGTCCGGTTCCTGGGGATATAGCAGAAGTCGAGGCTTATTGTAGAATTTTTAGAACAGCTGAAAGGCTCCATGCTGCTTTGATGGACACTTTATGCAATCCATTGACGGGTGAATGTATTGTTTCGTATGATTTCACACCCGAGGAAAAACCATTAGTGGAGGATAAGATTGTGTCTGTGCTTGGTTGCATGCTATCTCTCTTGAACAAAGGAAGAGAGGATGTTCTTTCAGGAAGAGTCTCAATTATGAATAATTTTCGTATGGCAGACATAAGTGTGATGGATGATAAGCTTCCACCACTTGCTCTTTTCCGGAGTGAGATGAAGAGGTGTTGTGAGAGCTTACATGTTGCCCTTGAGAACTATTTGACACCCGATGATTTTCGAAGCCTGAATGTTTGGAGGAAGTTGCAAAGGTTGAAGAATGCTTGTTATGATTTGGGTTTTCCACGCAAGGATGAGCATCCGTGCCATACATTGTTTGCAAACTGGCAACCTGTTTGTTTGTCTACATCTAAAGAAGAGATAGAGTCAAAAGATTGTGAGATAGCATTTTGGGCAGGCGGTCAAGTAACAGAGGAAGGGCTGACGTGGTTGATTGAAAAGGGATTTAAAACCATTGTTGACCTAAGAGCTGAGATTGTTAAGGATAATTTTTATCAAGCAGGCATGGATGATGCTATTTCGTCTGGGAAAGTTGAATTTGTAAAAATTCCAATTGAGGTTGGAACTGCACCTTCAATGGAGCACGTTGAGAAGTTTGCATCTTTGGTTTCAGATTTCAATAAAAAGCCCATCTATCTCCATAGTAAGGAAGGAGTATGGAGAACTTCCGCAATGGTCTCTAGATGGCGGCAGTACATGACTCGCTTTGCATCTCAGTTTGTCTCAAATCAGTCAGTGAGTCCCAGTGATACACTTTCAAAAGATGCAAATGGATCAGGAGAAATGCAGGCATCTTGGAGTTCAGAAGAAAAGCTCAAGTTACAAGAGACAAACAAGTTAGTGCAAGAGACATTGAATGTGAGTCATAGTTCAAATGGAGCACATAAGAATGAAGTCTTCTCAGACAATGATAAAGAAGATCAGAGAATTTGTGGGGCAAACAATGACCTTGTTTCCGGCCAAGTTATGACATCAGAGGAAGCAGTTGATAATGCGGAAGGAACTATGATAAGCATCTTTGAGAATATTGATCCTCTAAAGGCTCAGATTCCTCCTTGCAATATTTTCTCCAGAAAAGAAATGTCCATGTTTCTGAGAAGTAAAAAGATCTCTCCTCCAATGTATTTCAATCATCAGCTCAAAAGATTAGAAACCCTGCCTGTTTCAAGAGAAACATCTACTAGAGCAGCATGGGGAAACAAGGTGGTTTATGCTAATACTAAATCCCAGCTGGCAGAGGCAGGAAGTTCCAATGGATTGTGTAGTGCTAAAAATCAATCTCAAGATCATCACAGTACTGCTGCTGGCGGAGGAAAGTACTTAAATGGTGCTAGTTATGCTACCAATGGCACAAATGTGAATGGATTTGTTGAAGGGGAAAGGTATTCCTCGACTGAAACCAAAGTTGCAACTTTAGATGGGAATTTCAATGAGCATGTTACATCTACCTCGTTTAGCAAGAGAGAGAAGAGCAATGGTAAGGCCTTCTCAGACTCAAGTGATGATGAATTGGGATCGATTGAGGGAGATATGTGTGCTTCTGCAACTGGTGTTGTAAGAGTGCAGTCACGAAGGAAAGCAGAGATGTTTTTAGTGCGGACAGATGGGTTCTCCTGTACCAGGGAGAAGGTAACTGAATCCTCCTTGGCCTTCACTCATCCTAGCACCCAGCAACAGATGCTTATGTGGAAGTCTACACCAAAGACTGTATTACTGTTAAAGAAGTTGGGGCCTGAACTAATGGAAGAAGCTAAAGAGGTATCATTTGAAGATTTTTTTTTTCATTGTTGGCAATAATCGCCTCCTTACACTTAAAAAATAACTAACAAAATATTTTTTATTTCAGTCACATGTTAAGTCTGTTGGTGTGTATTCTTGTATAATCTGAAACTGGAATCAAACTTACTTCAGCATTTATAAATTCTGAGGCTGTTGATGGTGCAGAATGTAGACATTTGTAGCCTCGACCTTTGCATGCATGGATTGTTCCACCTGTTAGGCTCTTATTTGAATTGGTTTTAGTTTTAAAGTCCCAATATGATCGCTGTTTTTATTGCTGCATTGATTATTCCAATTATTAGGAATCTTTAAATGGTTTCGGTAGTGACTTCTTGTTTGAGGTAAGGTGTGGCTGCCATAAGGTTGTTAAGAAGGATCATTATTAGTTGGCTGTCAGTGTAAATCATAATACAGCAACATCCTCCAAGTCTAACTTGAACATGATAGTTTCTTGAACTGCCAGCTGGAAATTATCTCTTTTTTTTATCTGTGATTGATTAGCATATATTAAATATGTGCTTCTGCAGTTGCTTGTTTGATATGTAGCAGTTATAACTGCATTTTTGTGTTTGATGTGCAGGCTGCTTCGTTTTTGTATTATCAAGAAAAAATGAATGTCCTTGTTGAACCTGATGTCCATGACATATTTGCTAGAATCCCTGGGTTTGGATTTGTTCAAACCTTTTATAGTCAGGATACCAGGTACCCTTATGATTTATCGTGCAATAGAGTTGATAGTCTACTATTCCTCATGCCTGATTGCGATTCTGCTTGTTCTATGCTCGTATGACAGTGATCTGCATGAGAGGGTTGATTTTGTGGCATGCTTGGGTGGAGATGGGGTTATATTGCATGCATCAAATTTATTTAGAGGTGCTGTACCACCTGTTGTATCATTTAATCTTGGATCTCTTGGATTTCTCACTTCCCACACTGTAAGTTGCTCAGTTATGTGATTTTTGTTACTGGATATTGGATGTCCTCATGATTGCCCATTTTTTTAATCTCTTTACATTTGATTAATATAGTTTGAAGACTACAGGCAAGACTTGAAGCAAGTCATCCATGGTAATAACACAGCAGATGGTGTTTACATAACTCTTAGAATGCGCCTACGGTGTGAAATTTTTCGAAATGGTAAAGCAGTGCCAGGAAAAGTATTTGATGTCCTGAATGAGATCGTTGTCGATCGTGGTTCTAATCCGTACCTTTCTAAGATTGAATGTTATGAACATGACCGACTTATAACAAAGGTTAGTTAACTTCTTTCGATACGGAAAATTTAAGCTTCTGTTGTCACATAGGCAGTGAGTTATACTTGCTCTCATGGATTATAACTATTTGCACCTGTTATCTATGCACTAAATGCATCTGTGCCTTAAATGTTAAATATCTTATCTTATATACCTTTAAAGATGGTCAATCTTTTTTAATTTTTCCTTTATTTTATTTAATAAAAAATGTGCCTTTAGGTGCAAGGTGATGGAGTCATAATAGCCACACCTACTGGGAGCACTGCTTACTCTACAGCTGCTGGAGGTTCCATGGTAGGTTGTCCTTTCAAGTTTCAGAGACACATATGAGGTTTATTATATATAGACCATTTTCAGTATCATGATTATTCTATAAGTATCAACAGACTGTTGTAATGCAGGTTCATCCAAATGTTCCTTGCATGCTCTTTACACCTATCTGCCCACATTCCCTCTCATTTAGACCAGTTATACTTCCAGATTCTGCAAGGCTTGAATTGAAGGTAAAGTTATTCACATAAGAAAAGACCACTCGTAGATAATTTTTGAAATTTTTTTTCTCCACAAATAAGAATCTTGTAAATTTCTTTTATCCTTTGGTTTAAACTTATATACCATATATGCTTTAATTGGTCAAACAAGGTTCATGTTTTATTTTTCCGGTGGATATGTCATTGCTCATGTGATGTATTAGATAAAGTTCGTTGTTTTTTTGCAATATATTATGATTAGTGCTTGTAAGTTACGGGATTGGTGCTGGGAACAAGGTAAACCATAGGTAACTAGTCCGTAGCATTAAGTGTAGACACAGGTATTCTAATCGACTTTTGACCCTCAAATACCCTCTTGGCAACACGATCTAGTCAAGACTGGACTCTTATTGCTCTACACCGTTGTACTAGAATAATTTGCTACAATGATCCTTGCTACAATGCTTCTTCTACAGTGATACCATGGTCGATAATCAATTTCATGAGGTTCTAATGTAGAGGATCCACTAGAGTGAGAACTGCAGAGCATATGACTCATGTCATTGCTTACTTGGAGTGATAATGGTTTCATACTAAGTTACTAGCTAAAGAGAGAGAATAACCGAAGAGAGAAAACTTAGAAAAATATAGTTTTATATTTCACAAGGGAGATTTAGTAAGAGAGGTGACAACTTAGAAAACTAAAACTTGCCTCCTTTGTGAGGAAGGATTTGCCTTATATAGGCACACATTGGACACACAAAGACACTTGTTACTATACCTTGGTGATAGTAACATGACATTGACAATGACTAAACTTTTACAAATGCTTACAACTTTAATAAAGTAAATATTATCTTGTCTTGGAAAGGGACAAAAGAACACTTCTTTTGAAGTGACACATTCTTCAAGATGGCATGTTCTTTGATGTGCCTTTATCTTCTTTTGAGGAGACCCATTTGTTGAGGAAAACAAGGGGACACAACTTCACATATTTTGAGGTGGACAAGGTGGGTCACACTTGTAAACACTCGAGTAGAGCACACTTAATAGACTTGTATACTTATACATATTTTAGAGTGGGGGGTCTCTTACTCACTATCATTTGGAAGATTAAGATGGGAATTATCTACTCTAGTAGTAAAATCAGATCCCAAATGTTCAAGCCATTTTTGATGGGAGATTATCATTTCCTGGTCAGGGAATGCCATGGTCCTTGGGGTCTGGTTGGGTAGAACTTGAAGAAGCTTGATTGGGATTGGTGTGTTTCTTTGGGTGTTTAATTGGTCCTCGTACTTTGTTCATGAAGAAGTCTTCGGGATTGAAGTCTTCACCAAGGTCATACAGGTCTTAGGAGTCTTCCCAATAAATGGTTGGTTCTGGTTGTTGGTCCTGGATTGGCGGTGGTTGCCAATATGGATTCCATTCAACTGGTTTCAGACGGGAAATGTTAAACCTAAAGTTAGGGAGGAGTTGTCTTATTGTCAGATTTGTGAATTGCTGCTAATAGATATGCCTATCTATGTTGAGCTGTTTGGCATAGTCTGGATAGTCTCTCGAGGTGCAGTGGCTTGTGAATGAGTCCATATCTCTGAGCAAATGATCCTGTTTAGTTTACAGAGCTGTCTTTGGACTTTAATATATTCCTAAGAACGTTCGAAATTCTGTCGTGGAGGGAATAACCTTGGCTGCAAAGGATGGCAGTATAAGGGAAGTATCGAATAGTGCTCATGTAATTGGAAGGTCGATGAAAGGTGATGACAATATGTGGGATAGGGTAGTGCTTGTTTTACCTTTCAGATGTTGTGAGTCATTGCCTCCAAATAAGTATGGGCTTGAACCAAGGAAGTGTTTGAGTTTCTCATTGGGGTCTATGGGGTATCTTCTGGGGCTAGGCCATGTTCTGGATTTTACGGGGTGTTTAGATGAAAAAGGCAAGTGAGAATTCTAAGGCAATGTAGTAGAGATGGCATAAATAGCACAAAAAGCATATAGTTTTTTTTGGGAAGAATATCCAGTGTCTAGCAGGGAAAGTAAAATGGGTGAAGGGGTATTTAGGATGCACCCCAATAGGTTGGATTGATGTATCTCCAAACCTTTGGAGGATTTGGCTTTGATGCTTGAGCATGAGCAGGTAGGCACGAGTATGGAGAAAACTACTTGTGATTAATGTTTTAGGTGGAAGTGATCCAGGGGTGGTTGTTTTCCATTTTTGGAAGGTTACCTGGATCAAGAGGGTAAGTGTTTACCTTTGGGGGGACAACAGAAGAAGAGGCTCCTAAAGAACTCATCATAGCAATGATTGGAATGATCTTTGAGGAGGAGAGTTTCTAAGAAGAATGAGAAGTTGGCCTTGAGAGCATGTCTTGACCGACATTGTCTTTTCGTTTTATATGCTTAAAATTGAATGTGTACCATGAAAACCATTGAGACCATCTGAGTAGTTGTACATTGTGAAGGGTTTTCTTTTTGAAGTTAAGTGTGTGATGCTTGATTCCACAGTGAAATGGTGGCCAATGAGATGGAACTCGAACTTTTGAATTCCATATTTAACTTCAAGTATTTCTTTGAACTTCCACTTTTGTATTTGTAAATCTTTCTTTTGCTATCAATTTCTTTGAGTAGAAATATGGACCAATACTTGTTACTTGTGTCGGTTTGAAGGATTCTTTTCCTATGTGAGGAATCTGCAGGGTAAGAAGTGATTGGACAGTAGATTAGAGAATCTGTATTGCTCTTATTTGTTTCTAAGTCCACTGTGCTAGAGAACCTTTCTTTAGCATTATCCTGAGAGTACTTCAGATCTTTGTGAGATTTGAGATGAACTCACTCATTAATTGACAAGGAACTGTTGGACTTGTTTCTCCATGAGGTGTTCATCTAGGAAATTCTGTAGTTCTCGAGTAATGTGCGGCTGAGCAATATGTTGTCCATCTTTGAGGTGTATGCCAAGGGAATCTATTTCTACTCTACTAATATGTTTACAAGTATGCCCGCTTTGTCCACCTCAAAATGCGTAAAGTTGTGTACACTTGTTTTCTTTGACAAATGAATCTCCTCGAAATAAAAGCGCATCAAAGAATGTGCCACTTTGAAGAATGTGAGAAGTGTTCTTTTATCTCTTTTCAAGACAAGACAGTATTTACTTTATTAAAGTTATAAGTTTTTGTAAAAGTTGTCTAATCATTGTCAATATCTTGTTACTATCATCCATGTGAAGGTATAGTAACAAGTGTCTTTGTGTGTCTAATGTATGCCTATATAAGACAACTCCTTCCTCATGAAAGAGGCATCTATTAGTTTTCTAAATTATCACATCTTTTTGTAAAATCTTCCTTGTGAAATAAAAAACAATGTTTTTCTAAGTTTTCTCTCTTTGGTTACTCTCTCACTTCAGCTAGTAACTTAGTATAAAACCATTACTCATACCAAGTAAGCAATGACATGAATCTATGTTCTACAGTTGTCACTTCAGTGGATACTTTGTATCGGAATCTCAAGAAATTGATTGCCAACCATAGTATAACTACAGAAGAAGCACTGTAGCGAGGTTCATCATAGCAAGTTACTGAAATACGATGGTGTAGAGTCATAAGAGTTTGGCCTTGACTATTCCATGTTGCCAAGAAGGTGTTTGAGGATCAGAAATCGGTTAGAATACCTTGGTCTACGTTTAGTGCTATGGACTACTTGCCTACGGTTTACCTTGTTCCTAGCTGATCCTGTATCTTTGGCGATATCCAATCTTTGCCATATTATATGAAGATTCTCTTATTGCTATTTGCAAACCTCTGATCAAACTTTTTATTTATCATTGGCATGTGAGAATAAAATCATTTCTGTGCTATACATGGTTGGAAGTTGCTTGTGGGTACGGTTGCTGTAAAGAAAGTTGAAGTATAGGGAGTGTTGCTTGACAAGTAATCAATCGGACCAGTTGGACTCTTGTTTGTAACCATTCTTCGTTTTCTTGGGTCTTGCGAATAACTTAAAAGGTGTATTTTAGTATTGAATAAAACAGAGAAGTTTCTGGGGCTAACTTGGTGGTATTCCAATTTGGAGAGCTTCTCAATTGGGGTGGTTTTTTTGGGTCTTATTGCACGAAATATACCTCATTCGATGTTACTTTGTTATCTCTTCTCAGTAATGCTTGTAATACTAGCTATATTCTATGTTAGCATCTCAATTAGCTTTATGGAAGTAATGATGCAATTTACACAAATGAAGTTGTATTTCTGAAACTGCTTCTCATCTTTGTCATATAGGTTATAGTCTGGTGGAGAGTTATGGGTTTATAGTGCACAAGCTGAGGGCATTTGTTGCTAGACAGGCATATAAAATTGTATGAATAAAGATAAACAAACTGAAATTGCATTTTATAACTGAGAGTTCTTTAAAAGATGTCATCACAATATGTGTATCAGCAGGACATTTCTTATATTGTCTGTTGAGAAATTACCTAATTCTTGTTAGGCACATTATATAAAACATTGAAACATTGTTGTTTCTGGTTTCACAGATCCCTGATAATGCTCGTAGTAATGCTTGGGTTTCTTTTGATGGGAAGAGAAGGCAGCAACTCTCACGAGGACATTCTGTCAGAATATCTATGAGCCAGCACCCCCTTCCAACTGTTAATAAATCTGATCAAACAGGTGATTGGTTCCACAGCTTGATTCGGTGCCTAAACTGGAATGAGAGATTGGATCAATAAAGCTCGTTATAGACTCTGACATTGGGTAGCGAGTTTCTTCATCTTCAACATAGGATGAAGCTTCATGTAAACTGTTGTACAGATATAATTTGAAAGATTAAAGAAGGTTTAGTATACAAAGTGAATGTTATTCATTACCAACATAGGCTTCTCCATTAAAGTAGAGTGGGTCAACTTTCACCCTTAAATTGTACAAATACTATCTTCTGTTACCACACAGCTTTGAAATAAAAAACAAAATTTATTTATAGTTTTTTTTTTTTTTTGAAAGGGGGGGGGGGGGGGGGGGGGGGAGAGGAGGATGAAAGAACTAATCTTCGGGCATACATTCTGTATCAAAGCTTTAATTAATGCTCACTCGATCAATTACATGTATTTCTTTCGGTAGTTTTCTGTCGTAATTTTTGCAATTTCATGTGGGAATGGTACAGATAGAGCCATAAAGGAAGGTTCCTTGATGTTGAAAATATTTCAATGGTCCATGCAGAGCATGAATCATGACCTAAGATAAGATGACTTATCTATGAAGGATAAGGCTTTTACCTTTGGTTTTCCATGAAGGATTATAACAGATGGAGCTACCCAAGCCTAGTAGGAGTATATTTTAGTTACCTTCTGTGTCTCTTTTTCATTTTTATCACCTTCCATTACCCAACTCTACTTGGGATACGTGTCCTCTAGCTCAGGGCCTGGTGCACTTGAGCTAGCAAAAGAACATAAAACCTGACTATGAGAAATTAGTCTTCTGGTGGTGCCCTTAGATGGACATATACTTGATTTCTTGTCATCTGGCTGCTCCATCAATTTTGTGGAGAATAGATTTCATGGACTGAAGTGAAAAGTGAAAACCATCCATCATCTACCTCACAATATGTCAGATTCTCTTTCTTTTCCATTTTTATAATCTAACTAGAAAATCAGAAATTAGATTGATAAATTTTAGTCCTTTTCCTTATATACCAAATGGAACATGCATCCCAGTAATATATTAAATTAGAAAGAAAACAAAAAAAATTTGATCCTTGTTTTCAATGTGCCGGCTGCTTGTGTTGAGATGCATGTGGTACATGCATGTTCTGCAGGAGGGCATCTATTTTCACTGAAGTAATTGTGAGAATTAAATAACGGAAAAGAGAGGAAAATCCAATAATAATGAAGAAGGACAACTGCTGACATATTAGGAAGTCAAAAAACTCTGAAAGCTGTTTCTTAAAATAAAGAGTAGAATTCATAAAACATATGATTCTAATTTACAGACCCAACTTTAGCAGATGCATGAGCATTTCATCATGTTCATCACCACAAACAGTCCAAACTCGAAAGGCAAACACCCTAGTAATAGCTAGTTTGCTCACTTGAGCTCTCTATCCTTCCCTGCAATTTTAATTTCGCGGAAAGAAAGGGCTACGCATGCAAGACTTAATTATACTAAGAGCCATATACCAAAACGAAAAGTAAAAGGTAAGAAAAAAGCCAAAAAAAAAAAAAAACACTCATTATCTCAGTTTTTTAACTTCATATCTTCTTGCTGTTACATGGCCCTTACAGCTTGGAACCTTGGTTCTTTGGGGAGGAACTTTTGCTGAACATAAACAGACATGTAGTCACCAAAAACAAACTTGGGATAAGTTTGTTCCCCTTGTTGGTTTGTTTTCTCCACCAGCTTTGGTGCAGGAGCTATGGTGGCACTAAGGGATGGATTGTAAAATGAGGCGATAGATCGCCTGTTCCCGTCAGTGGAGCTCATAACACGGTGCCAAGCACTCTTGTATCGGCCATTGCTCAGGACCTCTATCTGATCACCAGTGTTGATGACAATGGTGTTTGGCAAGGGCTGCACGTCAATCCATTCCCCATCTTTCAGGACTTGAAGGCCTCCCACCTTGTCATCTTGGAACAGTAAGATCACGCCACCTGCATCTGTGTGAGCTCGAAGACCATTCACTCTCTCGGGGTGAGGACATGGTGGGTAGTGGCTCACCTTGGTCCCAAAGAAGGCATTTCTCCACCTTCTCCTTCATTGAATGCCTTCTTGATGTATCCCTTTGGTAAGCCTAAGTTTTCATCCATTACTTCCATGACCTTTTCGGCCAATTTCTTCAACTCAAATCTGTATTCCTTCATGGTTTCCCTGTCATGAACGTTAACAAGTTAGAATATTGTATCCAGTCATAAGCAAGCATCAAATGAACTAACTTGTTAAGAAATGATCATAGAATATATATTACGTACTCGAATCCGGGCGTTTTGGATGGCCACTCATTATCATCCAAGAGAGTAATGACATCTTCCCAGTCCACATTCCAACCTTTCACCAGTCTCATCCAACAATTCACCAGCTTTGAGTTCTTGAAATTCTCTTCCCTCTCCAGCTTATAGAACTCGGTTGAAATCTTCTTCACTCTCTCCAGCAGCTCCTCTGGAATCCCATGGTTCACCAGCTGCAATAAATATAATCGCGCACAACTTAAGAATTTGCATATATAGACAAAGCCAACACGAAAGCGGTTGATTCCAACGGTTAATAATAAGAAAAGGGTACCTGAAAGAACCCCCATTCCTCGCATGCATTTGCAATCTGAGCCAGCGTCTTGGCCCTCTCCTCACCATTGAGCTGAGAGAAATCAATCACGGGAATCGCCATTGAAGTGGTAAGCAATGAACGAGAGATCACAAGGAAAGAGAAAGACTGGCAAAAGAGAGTGGTATAACTATAACTTGAAGTTGTGAAATGCTTAGCTACTTCAAGGTTTGCACTTTTTTGGGTTGACAAAGGGGACAGAGGGTCGGCCCTATTTATAACACAAGCAAAGGAGCAACCTTCCCGCCTAATTTGTTGAAAGTCCCTTTCTTGTTTCTCGAAGTAGCCGTTGGGGTGAGGTATGGGACGGTGACACAAATGAGTAAATAAATTTAATAAAAAAACAAGGTCAATGCCTTTGAGATGTTACTGGTAGTCCACAACACAAGCATACTAATTTTTCTCTCCGATCAGAAAGTAAACACACCTTTTCCTCTGGTTTAACTCTTTAATTATCATTAATAATTACAAAATCGCTGCCACGTACTAATCATCCTTCAAATCTCCAACACAATGATGAGCTCATCTCTTCAAATGTGGGGTTTGACATGGATTACAATATTCAATTACTGTCTCCTAATCATAGCAATTATACCCCCAAGTGTTACTTTCACCAAATAAAGCCTCAGAGGAAGTCCACGAAAGATCAAATGGCTTTGATTGGTTCATTCATCTGCCAGACAGTGGAGTCCAAAACCCAAATAACCAAGGCCAGGTGGCCTGATCAAGTGTCATTCATGTGCAATATATTCTCTCTTTCTTTCTTTTTTCTTTTGCTTTCTTGCTCATCATGGAGTTTTTTCCTTTCTTTTGCCTTCTTTCTTACTTGTATGTCAAATCTTTGCCGACTCCCCTCCCCCCCCTGATTTGCCTTGGATATACGGTTTTGACTCCTTCGTTCGATCTTGTGGGCTGTTGCCCCCATCGATCACCGTCTCACCTCCCTCACACCCATGAACATGATCTTCAACCCATGCACTGATATACATGTAGGCATAGTTTAAGGGTTAAGCAAGGCAAAGTTGAGGACTATTAGTATATCATAAACAAAGCTATCATCAACCCTTTATTTAATATTGCATTGTCAACTTATAAACCATATTCAAACTATGCTTTCCTTTCCTTTTCTGTTTCTGTCCTTTTTTTTATATATCTTTATTTTTAATTGGGGAAGGTTTGGAGATATAATTTAATAATCGACCTTTCATATTTGAAAGTTTAAGCCAACATTTAAGGTCAAAATCAATATACATCTTAACATTCACTTTGTTATTGCCCAAGGCTTATCTAAAATTAAATTTTAACCTAAATATGTCAAGAGACTTGAATTTTACACGATAACATCGTAAATTAAATATTTATATATCAACAATTTAATTATTTACCATTATCTATATATATATATATATATATATATATTACTTCATTAAATTTGTATACATTTTAAAAGAATTTCATTGATAAAGTGTATAATATAAACTACATTAATTATAACATTAATTATCTTTAAATAAAAACATAAGATTTAAATAATTTGACATGGGAATAATGATCTGTTATTCAAGAAGCTGCACTGTATGAGCAGTTGATGCATAGTTGGCCATTTCTGATCATGATTCCAATAATTGTCCTAATGTTAGGGTACAGCTTTGAAGAGACAGGCTATATTGGCCGTCGGATGAAGAACTAGGATCACAAATTTTAATGAACTCATTGCTGTACTTGTTCAAGTGCCTCACAGCATTGGTCAAATACATGATCAAACCCTCAAGCTTGCAATTGCATAATTGGCATGTTTTGGATCTTGTGGTACACAACCACTGCTGCATCATGCGCCACGATCCATCCTTCTTAATCATTATTTGCAGTCCATGCTTATACATATATATAATTCGACATTTTTAGAAATAAAAAATCTTAATTTATTTATAGTAATAATTAAAGCAATGATGTCGTCACTCATAATTAATATCATTTAGTTTTTTATTATTTAAAAAAAACTTTAAATTCCCTTTAAGCAAAAAGATTATACACTAACCAATAAATTAGATGTTTGAACGCATTTAGTTTGATTTCTCTCACAATTGGAAAAGCATGGAATGATGCAAAAAATAATTGAGATTAATTGTTGTTAATTAATTTTGGTATATGATAAGAGTCTGGGAATGAATTAACTAAACCAAAGCATCCTCTCAAACTGTCCCCGTGAAGTGATGAGAAAATTGCAAGGGCTAATATATATATATATATATATATATATATATAAAGGTTGTTCTAAGCTAGGATTAATTAACAATCAAGACAGATAATCCAATCCAGGACAATGACTTTTAAGTAATTAATTGTGAGTTTTGTTAAACAGAACATGGTTTTGTTGGTCAAATGTCAACTAATTAATTTGCAATTAGAAAAATCTAAATCTTGCTTAATGGTACAACTTGTACTAACTAAAGGACTGTTCTCCACGAGTCTGCAGCTAGCAATCCTCCTCCCAACCAATCTAGTAGAGAAATATGGTTTACGACAAGAAATCAATCCACAAAATTCACTGTTAACTTTAATATTTTAAAGCATTTGAATCCGAATCCTATTATTTGATAGGATATCCAAACTCTACAAATATTTAATTAAATTTTTTAGTTGTTACTCGAACTCGTAT